CGTCCCTAGCTCCCCATTCAGCATTGTTTTCTCCTCTGAATGCTCTCTGTTTTATTACTGTGCTATCTAAAATGTGGTCCCTAGAACTGAACACGATAATCCAGATACGGTCTAACCTGGGCAAAGTACAACAGAAGTGTCAGCTCCTTATTACTAGAAGCTAAGCCCCTCTGTGCAGCCCAACATTAAATGACCTTTTCTTTTTTTTTTAATGGCTGCCATATCACACTGTTGACTCGTATTGAGTACTCTAAAAGCTCCAAATCTTTTCCTGATAAACTGCTAACTCTGCTTCTCTCATGAAATGAATTTATTGGGCTCAGACATAGTATTTTGCATTCTATCCTCAGTAAATTTGATCTTATTAGGTCCAGTCCCATGCTGTAGACTGTCAAGATCTTTTGGGATCTTGACTGTCACCCACTATGGCAGCTATCTACCTTGGTGGCTTTGTATTATCTGCAAATTTGACAAGGATGATGACATTATCTTTATCCAAGTCATTGATAAAAATGTTAAATGGAACATATCTCTGAGTCATTCCATTAGAGACTTTCTGCCAGGTTGACATGAAATCATGAATGGCTACTCTTATACATCTAACTGAACTATTGTCAAACTCATAACCTCCCATTCTTTCCACAAAAACAGTATGACATGTTTTCTAAAAACTTTGATAAAATTTAGCTGAATTATATCTATACTTCTCTTGATTGACCAATTTAGTAATCCTACCCAAAAAAAGGAAAGAAGTCACATCAGTGTGGCATGGCCTCTTTTTAATGAAGCCAAATTGGTTCTTTGTGATCACTGCTTCTTTTTCTAGATGTTCATCAACCATCTCTTTAATAGTATGTTCTGGAATCTTCCAGACTCTGGACTGGTTTGCAGATTCCAGTCTTTTCCCTTTGTAAGAGATCAGGACATTTGCCCTTCTCTCTGCTTTTCCGCACAATGTTTCTTTCCTATATCACTGACAGTGGTTCGATAGTTACACCCACCACTTCTTTCGGTACCGGAGGATGTAGTTGACTTGAGGAATTAAGTGCCATCATCTTTCTATCTTCTTACTTATTTTTGGAGTCTACTCTATTAGGGCAGCTAGGTGAGTGCCAGGCCTGGAGTCAAGAAGACTCATCTTCCTGAGTCCAAATCCAGCCTCGGACACTTACTAGCTGGGTGACCCTGGCCAAGTCACTTAGCCTGATTTGCCTCAGTTTCCTTATCTGTAAAATGAGCTGGACAGGGAAATGGCAAACTACTCCAGAATCTTTGCCAAGAAAACCCCCAAATGGGGTCATGAAGAGTTGGACATGGTTGAACAGCAACAGTAAACACCATTAGCCATTTTTGTTTTGTCCTTTTCAGTCTCACATCCATTTTCCTTAGAAGAGAAAAAAGAAACAAAATAAGAATTGATCGGCTTTGCCTTCTCCCTGTTGCCAGTTACCATCATCACATCCTCCCTAAGCAGTGGTAAAATTACATTGAATGTCACCTTTTCCCAGTATAGTGCAAACAAACAAACAAACCCTCTTTGTTGTCCTTACTTTTCCTGGCCAGCCTCCTCTCATTCGGAGCTTTAGAGCTCCTGGCACCATTGTCCCAGCACTGTACTATGCTTTTGTTCTCATTCTGTTGCCTGTCCTTGCTTCCATTTTCCCTACATGTCTTTTTTTAAAAAAATCACTTCTGTTTGTTCCTCTATTATTCTTTATTGAGCTTCTCTCATATGGTTCCTGAATTTTCTCACAAATAAAATATACATTAGTATCCCTCCTCCTCTTCTTTTTTTTTTTTTATTAAAGGGGCCATCCCTTGACTCACTTTTTTTTTTGTCAAGGCAATTGGGATTAAGTGACTTGCCCAGAACCACACAGCTAGTGAGTGTTATGTGTCTGAGGTCGAATTTGAACTCAGGTCCCCCTGACTCCAGGATCAGTGCTCTAACCGCTGTGCCACCTAGCTGCCCCTCCACCCCCCTACTTTTACCAATCCTATTTCATATGCATGTTATACCCAACCAGAGCCATATTCTTGTCTAAGATCTCATCCTCAACAAGTTGTAATGATCAATAAACAAAAAACATTTATGAAGTTCCAACTATATACCAGATACTGTGCTATGGACTGGGGGTATGAAAAGAGGCAAAAGACAGCCTCTGCCTTCTAGGAGTTTATAATCTGATGAGGGAGACAGCATGTAAACAAGTACATACAAAGCAAGCTTTTGTATCCTGGTTTTCACAGAGCAAGGATAAGTAGTAAATAATGAACAGAGGGAAGGCACTGGAATTAAGAAGGATTGGGGAAGGCTTCCTGATCCCTATGAAGTCAAATCAAAGTTGTTCGAAGCAGAAGTTGCTGCCTTGTCTCAGGACCTCCAGCTCATCTTGCTTGTCACCTAAACCTTGTCCATCTGTGTGTGGACATTTGAGATCATGCATTATCCCCATGGCTCCTTTCTATGGGTGTTGTCACCTTTGAGCTCCTGGGTGTCTGAATAGTTATAATGTAAATAGGACAAGTTTTACTAGAGGTGAACTGACTTATTCATCAACATAAACTGGTAAGTGGAAGATCTGGGATTCAAATTCAGACACAGTTGGAGGAACTAGGGTGGGAAGACCAAGCCTTCATTCCAGGATGATGAATTTATGCTGACAACAATCTGCCTATCAGCAGCATAGAAATAATAGAACTTATCAAGAATAATTATTTAAAAGAAAAGCCATCTCCTTTGATCTGCCATCTCCACCAAGCCCTCCCCAGACATTGTTGTTGAATCATTTTTTTTTAAGTCAAGTCCCACTCTTCATGCCTCCATGTAGGGTTTTCTTGGCAAAGATATTGGAGTTGCTTGCTATTTCCTTCTCCAGCTCATTTTACAGATGAGGCAACTGAGGGAAATAGGGTTAAGAGACTTGCCCAGGGTCACACGATTAGGAAATGTCTAAGGCCGGATTTGAACTCAGGTCTTCCAGACTCTATCCACTATGCCAGCTGCAGTCTCAAAACAGAGTCTCCTGCTCTCTGTTTCTTCCCAACAGGAAGGTGCCCTGACCCTTACCCAGATTCATGCTGCCGATCCCAGACAAGGTTTCCCCAGTGCTTTCCCAGAAGGATCAAGTCCCAGTTGCCACCCTGAAGATGGGTCATCTGACTCCATGTCTAGGACTCTTGCACTGCACAATTATAGTCACAATGCCATCCTGCTATTCCTGGGATATCTCACTCTGTTAGCGGGGAGAGTAGAATTCTTTCTCACTTCCCCCAGTGCCTCTGTCTTGGTTATTCCAAGACTGCTGTCTGAGTCATCTGTTTTGCAGAAAAACTTGTCTAGAGTTTCCTAAAGCCCTGTCCCCTGAGGGTCTAGGAAATCTTTTCCCAGTCTGACTTCTTTCTTGACTCTCAACTCATTTCCTGGAGCATAATAACATTAACAGCAGCAACAATAATCAATTATTCCTATTTCTTTGGCACTTTAATTTACACAGCATTTTCCTTACAGAAACCCTGAGGGTAGGTTATTATCCCTGTTTTATAGAGAAGGAAACTGAGGCTTAAAGAGGGGGAATGGAATGGAATAAATATTTATTAAGTGCATACTATGTACCAGGCACTGTGCTAAGTGCTTTATAAATATCTCACTGGAGGTACTATTGTTTTCCCCACTTTACAGTTGAGGAAACCGAGGCACACAGAGATTAAATGACTTGCTCAGGGTCACCTAGCTAGCAAGTGTCTGAGGTTGAATTTGAATTTAGGTCTTTTCTTCCAGGTTTAGCACTCTGACTAGTATGCCGCCCAGTCTAGCTACCGGAGATGGGAAGTAATTTGTTCAGGGTCATACTAGCTAGTTGTTTTAGAGTCAGGACTTGAACCCAGTTCCTCTAACTCTGAGCCCAGAACATTGCATTCTACTATCTCAGCCTTATAGGACCAAGACTGTCCCCATCTGTAATCAGGGAGTGTTCTAGGGACGAAGCCATTCCCTGAAGTATTCAGAGTGGGTACCAGGGCCACAGACATCCCCAAAGGACCTAGACCTTGTTTGCATCCTAGACCCCTTTGACAATCTGATGAAGTCTATGGATGCATCCTCAGAATAAAAGTCTTAAATAATTGAAAGAAATGCTTAATTTCAGTTAGAGGCTAGTGAAAATAAAAATGTAATATTTTTCTCATCCAAGTTCATAGATTCACTAATATCTATTCTGGCCTAGAACATTTTAGTTGCAGAATACCAAAGGAGAAATTATCATCTCCTAATGTCATAGGAGTTAGAGCCGGGAGAGGCTTTGGAGACCATCCAGGCCAATGGTTCTCAGTATTTTTGTTGTTGTTGTTTTGTTCAGGGCCCAAGATTCTTCGGTGTGAGAAATAAGGGAATTTCTAAGTTAGCAACACTGCGTGAGAATAAGGAGCCTCAAGCATGCACAGCCTACCTTCAGTAACAGTGGGCATTTTTGTTGAATTCTTTTTCTGTTTTGAGATTAGTGTAGGCTTAATAGACAAGTTTTGTTTATTTTCTGAATGAATGAATTTTAAAAGCATTTATTAAACACATTATGTCCTAGCACTTCCTAGGTGGCTTAATGGAGAGAGCCTCAGGCCTGGAGCCAGAAAGACCTTAGCTCAAATCTTGCCTTAGACACTTACTAGCTGTGAGTCCCTGGGAAAGTTACTTAACCCAATTTGCCTCAGTTTCCTCATCTGTAAAATGGGCATAATAATAGCAGCCACTTCCCAGTGTTTTGAGAATCCAATGAGATAATAATTGTAAAGTAAGTGCTATATAAATATTAGCTATGATCATGATTATTGCCATGTGCCAGGTACTGTGCTGAGCATTAGGTATCCAAATACAATTAAACAAGACAGTCCCTTCCCTCAAGGAACTTATATTTTAATGGGGGCAAAGAACATATGCAGGGGATTGGTTTGTTGGGGATCAGCAGCCGAGGAAGGACATTTTGGTTTGGGAAGTTACAGGGATGGTGAGTGGAGTCATAAGGAAATTTATTGACATGTTTCTTAGAATGATAGTGATGATTTGATTATGATTTCCAGAATTAGGTGGAAAGGTTGGGGTGGGATGGGGAGGGAAGAGCTGGGACACTGGATCTTGTCTGATGCAGAAGATGGAGGGATGTGGCATAAAGAGAAGATGGACCTGAGAGCTGTGTCGTAGGGCTGGAATTGATGGTGAAACTCGAACTTTGTACCAAAATCACAGGTAGTTAGATTAGCCTTTACCTTTGAAGTAAAGCAGGATTATCAACAATGAGTCCTGGGTGTTTGGGAGTAGTTCAAGTTTGTACAAGTAATAAATATGCCAGAAGTTAATACACCAAGCTCAAGGTATGGGACACTCACACAGTGGTGGATTTGGAGTGACTCTGATGAACCTCCCAGGAGCCTAGGACAGAAACAGGAGTCTTAATTCTGAGGCAAATACCATACTTAACATCACAGTGTACACTGAGTAAGTTAAAATTTACGTTCAACAAAATTCCTTAAATAATAGAAAAATTTGTGGCATAGATAGGGAAATTCAGGGTATGCCCTTTGAGAACCACTGATCCAGGTCCATTGACTCCTCATTTTGCAGATGGGAAGTATGAGGCCCAGCTATATGAAGATATCACACAGTAACTGAGTGTCACAGCTAGAACCTGAACACAGACTTTCCGATTCCGTCTCCAGTAACTGCCAGCATCCCCATCATCATCTTCACATTAGCTCTGGAACCCTCTGCTGCAGAAACCAAAAGTCCCTTCTTCTGGCTCTGGTAAAATATCTTTTCCCCACTGAGAAGCCATTGAGATTTATTCCTGATGGATGGCCAAGCTTGGACCCATGAATCCTTCAAAAGGCCCAGTCCTGACTGCTCAATCTCTCATAACTCCAAGTTAAGGACACAGAGTGACACCAGAGACAGCTGGATAAAGGATGAAATAAGAGGCCTGATAAGGTGTGATTGATGGCAGAACCCTGCCACACCGTGCTAGGGGAAGGACATGAGAGGGCCCGAGTTCTGGCTTCTTGTCCCCCCTTGGTCTTCTGGGGATGAGGAAAGGGAGAGAGGAAAGCATGCAGAGCTTGGAGTCTGAGGACCTGGGCTGGAAGGCCAACCATGCAGCTTACTAGCTGTGTGTCCTTGGGCAAGTCACTTCAATTTTTTTTTTGGCTAAAATGAATAGGTTAGAATAGGTAATATGATAGCTGATGTAATCAAGTCCCTTCCAACTCCAAATGCTATGAGCCTATATGGACTCATTCTTCACTTGGGCTAATGCTTGCCAGTGGGGCTGTTCCAGTGCCATGGTCCCTTGTCCAAATCTGATTCTACATTAAGTGTTGCCTGAGCCCTCCCCCAGCTGCTACTGCCCTTGTATTACCTTGTACCTATTTTGTATATATTGATGTATGTACGTGTTGTTTCTCCTTATAGAATGTAGGCTTCTTGAAGGCAGCTACTGTTTTATTTTTGTCTTTGTATTTCCAATACTTCCCACTTAACATTTGTTGTTTGATTGATTTCTTCATCTCTCGGAAGAATCCTGCTGAACACTACTGGTATGAATATTTAGGGAATTCAAATTTTTCAGGAAGCAATGAAGCCACAGTTGGTGGGGGTGGTAAGCTTAGGACTCAGAGCTGGGGAATAGCTGAGGAGAGAGAGGTATATATGGATGGAAGCATCCTAAATACCCATCTAATCTTCTCCTTTCCTACTTCCTCTGTTCAGTCATGTTCAACTCTTCATGACTCCATTTGGAATTTTCTTTTTTTTTTTCCAGCCAAAGACAAAGTTTATTAGAACATCGATTGGAGGTGGTTGAGATTTTAGGAATCCTCCATATTGGCTAGACTCTTAAGGAATCTAAGCATTTGTATCTATAGTACAAGTGGGTCAGATTTTAAGAATCTGAGCCTAGAGTTTTCTTGACAAAGACACTGGAGTGGTTTGCCATTTCCTTCTCCAGCTCATTTTACAGATGAGGAAAATGAGGCAAGAAGGGTTAAGTGACTTACCCAGGGTTCAAATCCAGCCTCAGGAAGAGGATTCTTCCTGAGATCTATCCATTACATCACCTAGCTGCCCAGACTTCCTGTGTACCTATTGCTTTAGTGAATGGGTCTTCTTACCATCTCATGCTACGGGTGTTCTTCATCCAGGCCTTTACTCATGTTGCTTTCTCTCCCTTGGAATATCCTCCCTGCCTTTATGCACTAATCCGAAACCTACATTTTTCCATCAGGGTCACACACAAGACCCACCTCCTCCATGAAGCCTACCTAGCCTGATCTCAAGCCACAGTGATGCTCCTCTCCCTTACACTAAATTTCTATAGCAGTTAGGTGGCCTCCCATGGTGGCCTTAGGTGCTCTTGTTATGTCCCACTATAGCATCACAGAAGGGACATCAAGGCCAACCCAGGCCTGGATAGGAGTTGTCCCTCTGCTACCAGCAATCATAGAATGTCTAGTTGAGCCCTGCTATTGCTCTCTAGGGAGGAGACACTCATCACCTCCCGGGTCAGCCCATTTCACTTTTGAACAACTCCAGTGACAAGGAAGTTTTTCTCTTATATTGAGGCTAAGTCTATGCCTTTGAAACTTTCATCCATCATTCCTAGTTTTGCTCTTTCAGGCCAAGTAGAACATGTCTAATCCCTATTCCTTCTGAGAGTTCTTTGTTGTGTACCCCATAAGTCTTTTATTCTCCAGAATAAATGTTCCAACTTCTTCACCTGATCCTTGAAGACTTGAATTCAGTTCCAGTATGGATACTTACTAGCTGTGTGACTTTAGGCAAGTCACTTAATGTGTTTACCTCAGTTTCCTCAACTGTAAAATAAAGATAATAATAGTACCTACCTAACAGGGCTGTTTTGAGGATAAACGGAGATATTAGCACAGCCCCTGGCACACAGATGGTGCTAGTTATTGTCGTTGTTGTTAGCCTCCAGTCCCTTCTCCATCCTGGTCATCTTCCTCTGGTCACAGCCTAGCTTATCAATACCTTTAGCTGCCCTGACTCTCAGAAGCAAACACAGCACTCCAGGTGTAATCTGACCAGGGCAAAAGACAGCAGGACTTTTACCTCCCTCATTCTGGACACCACCTTTCTATGGGTGCCGTTCAAGATCAAGCATTTTTTGCTAATCTGCTATATCACAGTTTGACTCATATTGAGATTCCAGTCCCAAAAAACTCCTTGTTTTCCACATGAAGTTTTGATTAGCCACATTCCTCCTATTCTATATTTATGCACTTGACTATTTGAATCGAAATGTAGGACTTTGCATTTACCCCTATTATATTTCCTCTTATTTGGTTTGGCCCACTATTCCATACTGTTGAGATCTTTTTGGAACAATACACACAATACATATACATATACATATACACATACACATACATATACATATACATATACATATACATATACATATACATATACATATACATATACATATACATATACATATACATATACATATACATATACATATACATATACATATACATATACACATACACATACACATATACACACACATACATACATATATACACACATACATATATATTCTGCTTTTAAGGCAGAGTGACTTAGGGCAGAGACTAACCTTTGGACATACTGACTTAACTTCAGGCTATGCTCTTTTCCTCTTTGGAAAAAGGAATTATGAGTTAAAGATATCAGAGCTAGGCCGGAAGGAAGAAGGGATTCAAGAGCCCAGCATGGTTGTGATGAGCTGCCAATAAATAAGCCATGAGAACCAGTATAGTGTGAGCCAGTTCTGGCATCATCAATCCATAATTCCTTTTTCCAAAAGTAAGGAAGCTGAGCATAGGAGTCAAGATCAGTCCATTCATTGGTCACGCCCTCTCCCAAGTCTCTCTGCACCCAAGTCTGCCTTTAGTCACAAAGACTGATATATATATATATATATATAATATATATATATATATATATATATATATATATTTATTTATATATACACATATATATGTATATGTATATACACACACACATACACATATATGTATGTCTATGTGTATATGTTTAAATTTTTTAAAATTGTTATCTTTTGTTTTGACATCATCTTCATTTCCAAATGTAACCCTCTATGTAACCCAATGAGTCATCCCTTGTGACAAAGGATAAAAAAAGAAAGAGCCAAAAAAAGGTCAGCAAAATTAAACCACATATCAACTCAGTCTGATAGTATATGAACTCATTGAGGTATGTGCATGTCTGCAAAGAAGTGAAGAAGGATAATTTTCTTTTCTCTTCAGGACCAAACTTGGTCACTAAAATGATATACTACTAAGTTTCAGATTTTTTAATTTTTTCTATTTACACTGTTTTAGTCATTTTGTAAATTATTTTTCTAGTTCTACTTATCTCACTCTACATCAGTTCATATAAATCTTTCCAAGCTTCTCTGAATTCTTCATATTTTCTCTATATATTTTTATAAATAAATACAAAATCCCCTACCTAGTCTGTAAGGGCTCAGGAGAGGGACTGCATTACTTTCTACTTCTTTTGTATCCCTTCCCTCCTTACCTATCGTAGTACTGCATACAGAGTAATGGTTTAAAAAATGTTGGTTGGGGGCAGCTAGATGGTGCAGTGGATAGAGAATCAGCCCTGAAGCCAGGAGGACCTGAGTTGAAATCCATCCTCAGACCAAACATTTGACACTTACTAGCTGTGTGACCCTAGGCAAGTCATTTAACCCCAATTGCCTTAAAAAAAAGTTTGTTGAATAAACAAATGAAACAAGAGAATGAATAAGTGAACAAATAAATGAATATATGAAACCTGGATTTGGCTTTGGGGTTAAAAAGGTAAGCTCCACAGTCTTACATTTGATATGAGAAAATGAGAAGTATAATTTGATTCAATCCCAAATGTTTTCACAGCTTAGAATGTAGGGGAAGTTACATTTAGCAAAGATGGAAATCTTTAATCTTGTCTACAGAGAACCCTTAAAAATCCTAAGCTACTGTTAGCTAAGACCTTGTGCACTTAAGAACAAGAGATCTTAGAACCAAAAGGACCATCTAGTTCGAATCCCTCATTTCACAGAAGAGGAAATAACCATAGGAGGGAAATGACTTGCCCAAGGTCACACTGTAAGTCAGAATCAGAGCTGGAAGACACTGCATCCTAGGTCTTCTGACTGCCAACTCAAGGCTCTTTCCTCTCCAACAATACGTGGCAATGAGCTTGCTAACTCAGTGTAGTCCCATTTCACTCTTCCAGATCCATCCTGCATTTCCTGTTAGTCTGACCTTTTTACAATTATGATTCTGCCAAAGATTCTGCCCCTTGGTTCATGAAGGGCATAACTCCTGCCCTCAAACAGTTGAATTTGATGATAATAACCACTTCCATTTCTTAGAGTTTACTAAGTACTTTACTAAGTGAGGCAGATAGTGTAAATGATATGAATCCCATTTTACAGATGAGTAAGTAACTTGCCTACGGTCATATCTTTTTTTTTAAAGTTTTCTTTTTAAATATTTATTTTACTTTTTTGTTACATTTTGAGTTCTAAGTTCTAAGCTGTCATTCTTCCTCCCTCCCAACATTTGACACAGATATAAATGTGAAATTATACAATACATGCTTCCATATATCAGTTCTTTCTCTAAAGATAGTATCTTCGTTCATAAGTCCTTTGTAGTTGATTGATATTACTCAGAGCCTAGGGTCATACTTTTAGTATGCATCTAAACTAGGATTCAAACTCAGATCTCTTAATTCCCCCAGCAACGTGTATTACACTGCATTCTGATGGCTCTCACAACTTGCAAGAGAAATAGCATTATAGGTCTTTGGAATTTTATCCACTGGTCTCTCTAGGGGCCAAACGGTATTTCTTTTGAGGGCTGTTCATTTTGTCTTCACAGTGCTTCAAAATCTGGACAGGGACATGGTACTGTGGAATGAGCACTAAAACTGAGTCACAGGACCTGATTTCAACTCCTGACTTTGCCTTTTATGTGACCTTGTGACCTTGGACAGGTCATTTTCCTACTCTGGGCTTCAGGTTCCTCATTCATAAAATGAGGATGGCAGACTAGAGTAGCTGACCTCTAAGATTATTTCTAGCTATTAATCTATGAAAATAGGATTTAAGATCTGGGAGGGGCTTCAGAGACCATATGTTTCATAGGATCATAGGTCTAGACCTAGGAAGGGAACTCAGAGGTCATTTAATCCAACTTCATCATTTAACAGATGAGGACATTGAAGCACAGAGAGGTTGGGTGATTTGTCCAAGGTGATACGGATACTGAGAATCAGAAATAGGATTCAAATCCAGATTCTCTGACTCTATAGCCAGTATTCTGTCCAATAAACAACTAGTTCAACCCCTTCACTTTACAGATGAGGAAACTGAGGCCCCTAAATGTTGACTGACTTATCCCATGTCACATAGGTGCTAAGTAGCAGAGGCAGAATTTGAATCCAGGTTCTCTGACACTAGAGATGATTCTCTTTCCAGTATTCCACAAATTCTACCCTTTCATTTCACAGATGAGGAAACTGGGGGGGGGGGTATCATGTGATGTGAAGGGATTTGCCCAAGTCAGTGGCAGAGCAGGGATTGAAAGCCAGGCCCTCAGACCCCGAGCCAGGCCCATGACCAGAACAGATGGCTTAATCTGCTGCTTCTAGGATCTGAAGCCTCTCAACTCTCACCCTCGTGTACAGTGAAGGAGCATTACCTTCTACTCAGTTGTTCTGCTGGCCTCCTGCCCTGGCTCCTCGATCCCTACTGGCAAATGTTTGCTTTCTCTGGTCCCAATAGTAGTTAGATTGATTAATTGTTGCATGGCCCCCTCCTCCCTCCTCATCCCTCCTTTCTCTCCATCTCTCTTCTTGGCTTCCACAAACCTGGTTTTGTTTCACTAGAAGGATGGAAACCCCCAGTTTGCAAACTAAATAATATGCATAACAAAATAATAGAAACAACCCACATTTCTATAGTGCTTTGAAATGTACAACGCACTTCCTCCACAACACTGTAAAGTAGGGAATGTAAGAAATATTAGCTTTATTTTACAAAAGAGGAAACTAGAGCTCTGAGAAAGGGAGACTCACCCATGGCCATACAGTTAACAAGTACTGAATATAGAACTGGAACTTGGGGAAAGAGATGCTAGAAACTTCTCTCTGCACCTCGTGTTCTTCATCTGGAAAATAACATATTATAGTCTATATTGTAAATTCCCTTCCAGCTTTGACATTCTATGTTTTAAGATCTCTTATAGCTCAGTGTTCGAAAGTTTTTGCCATATCTGACATCCCATGTTCAATGCTCTAAGGCCCTTTCAACTCTGAAATTCAACATCCTTAGGGATCTTCCTTAGGAAGGCAGCTACGTGGTGCAGTAGATAGAACACTGGGCTTTGAGTTAGAAGACTCGAGTTCAAATCAAGCCCCAGACACTTGCAAACTCTCTGATACTGGGCAAGTCACTCACCTCTATTTCCTCAACTGTAAAATGGGTACAATAACAACATTTATTTCCCAATGTGGTTTGAAGATCAAATGAGATAACATTTGTAAAATTCTTAGCATAGTATTTGACACATAATAGGAGCTTAATACATTCCAGTTTCCTTCCCCCTCCCCCCACCTCAACTGCTTGCTGTCAGCTCTGACGTTCTGTCATTTGGTGACTCCTGAGCTCTGTTACAGCCTTTGCTATTGACTAGTCCTGTGGGCTGTGTACAAGCCCCACATTTTGTTTAGCATTTGGGGTGGATCCTTAGCAGAGGCACTTCCTCTTCTATCTGTGCACTTTACAGCCCCTCCATGCTTTTTCTTTCTGTGTTATTCTTCTTTGTGTTTTCCCCTAAATTCTCCATAAAAGCTCTAATGCTAAAGGTCCCTAACACTCGGGACCTTCCTTTGCATTTTTTCATATCTCAGGAGTATCAGTGCAGGACCTGGTGGATCTCATTCTTGTTACAATTCTAGGCCATCTTTTTCTAGGCATGCATGTGACCGCCCAACAAATATTTAAGTGCCTACTTTGTGCAGAGCACTGGATTAGGAAAAAATAAAAGGTTGAGAGGCTCGCATTCCTATAAGTACTTGAAGCTTTTTTTTTTAAAAGCCCTTTAGCTTACAACCACATGGTGAAGTAATTAGGGAAAGTATTATCTTTCCTAGGGCAGCTAGGTGGTACAGTGGATAGAGTGCTGGGTCTGGAGTTCAGAAAACTCAACTGTGTCACTTAACCCTGTTTGCTTCAGTTCCTGAACTATGAAATGAGTTGAAGAAGGAAATGCCAAACCATTCCGATATCTTTGCCAAGAAAACCCCAAATGGGATCATGAAGTGTCAAACAGGAATGAACAACAACAATAATTATCATTTCTGCTTTACAGAGAAGGAAACTGAGGCTCAGGAAGTTCAGTGACTTGCCCAAGGTCACATGGGTAATACATGACTGCTCTGGGATTTGAACCCAGGTCATCCTCTGACTCACAATCCATTGTTTTGTTTTGGGTTTGTTGTTGTTGTTTTTTTACAAAGTGTCACAGCTTGAATCCCAATTATGAGACTGAGTAATGATAACAACTCCCTTTTCCAAGTACTTAAGGTTTCCAAAACTTGTTTTTCACAAAAACTCCAGGAAGTTAAGGAAAATCATCGTCTCTATTTTACAGATGAGGAAACTGAGGGTTAGAGAGGTCTAAGTGTCTCACTCACATTCCCACAATTTTTATGTGTAAGAACTAGAGTGTGAGCCTGGGTCTTGGTTCTTTCTGCTACACTCCATTGCCTCTTAAATCCACATGACGCATGGTGCCAGGCTCTGGTGATGAAAAACCCCAGAGCTGAGTGAACATTTCCTTCTCATTGACACCCACACCACTAATGATCCAAAGGAGGATATTTTAAAGCAGCGAAATGTTGCTTTTCACCATTTAGTCTATAATTGTGCATTTGCCACGTCCTTAGGTGGCAAATGGGAGGTATTGGTGAAATTATTATCGTTGTTGTTATTTTACATTTATTATACACATTGGTATAGGGCGAGTCATTTCCCTGCTGCTTTCTAATCAATTTCCCTTTCCCTTAAGTCAGTCTTGTGAATGGCTTGTAAAAAGTAATCTAAGCTATATGGAACATTCTCATTCACCTGTTGGCAGCTCCTGACAGACTCTGGGATTAAAGATATCCAGGGGGCACCAAAAACAGTAGCAGAGAGCTGGGGAAAAACAGGGATGAGCAAGTGGAGTCGCAGTCTACAAAGATAGGGCAACCCAGACAGAAGGGGAAGGCGGAGGAAGTGCCAGGATGTCAGATCACACTGTCAGGGCCCAGACCCAGTGTCTGCCAGGGTTCCCCAATCTGTGATCCTGGCACGGATTACCAAAGATTCCTCACTAACCATGAGGCATTATCACCTTTGTCCTTCTCTCTCTTAATTGCTTCTAATTTGCCCTGTATGGTTGTTTGCATGTTGTCTTTCCATTAGACTGATCTCCTTGAGAGCAGGGACCATCTTTTAACTTTCTTTTTATCTCCAGCACATATTGCACATAGTAGGCACTTAGTAAATGCTGATGAACTGATTTCGTGCCTAAAACCTACAATACTACGTGAGAATTTTCCAGAATGTCACACACAACACAAGGGAACATGCACAGACCCCCAGAGGAAGACTTCAGGTGCCTGGACTCTGCCAAATTGCTCTGCCATGAAGAGGTCTTGCCTAAACTCTCCCTTGCTCTCTCTCCTTCCAATACACTCAGGTCTGGAGCAACAATAAAAGGGCCAGTTTGAGAAATACCAGTCCAGAGGACGGGGCTCTCTCTGCTTTACTTTGCTGCCCACAGGCATCCTCAGAATGACAGAGAGGCTGGGGTCCTCCAGTTTATAGTAACTGCTGCTTTCCTCCCACCCCCACTCAACTCAATCGTCTTGCATGGAGAAGAAGGTGACAGAAAAAGGCAGCTGTAAGATGAAAATGGAAAGTAAGGAAGCCTTAGAAGTAGCTTTAGCCATGAGGTCATAAAGTAGAAATGACATGGCAGCAAAATTTCCCTGGAGCTAACACTGAAATATGTCATTTCTATACCCTTGATTGGGGTAGCTAAGTGGCACAGTGGAGTCAGGCCTGAAGTCAGGAAGACTCATCTTTCTGAGTTCAAATCCAGCACCAAGTGACTTAACTCCATTTGCCTCAGTTTCTTCACCTGTAAAATGAACTGGAGAAGGAAATGGGAAACCACTCCAGTATCTTTGCCACGTAGTCCCAAACGGGGTCATGACTGAAATATCTGAACAACAACACACACCTGATTCTTCCATCGACCCTATGAGATAGGTAGAAAACCCTTTTGGTTTGGTTTAGTCTCATTTCTCTAGAGGAGGTAGGTCTGTGATTTCACTTATGTGGGGAGCTGTGGGTACAGAATTCTTTTTCCCAGTGCAGACAGACATCTCTACCAGTTATAATACCAGAGAATTGTCTGGGGGCATTAAGAGATTAAGTGACTTAACCAAAGTCACACAGAAAATATATGTCACGGAGGGGACTTAAACCTAGGTCTTCTTGACTCCAAGGCAAAAGTATTATTATCCCCAATTTACAGATGAAGAAACCGAGGTCCAAAGAGATGAAGTGACGTCTCATTTGTTGTTCAGTCATTTTACTCATGTCTGACTCTTCAGGACCCTATTTGGAGTTTTCTTGGCAGAGATACTGAAGCGATTTATCATTTCCTTTTCCAACTCACTTTACAGTTGAGGAAACTGAGGCAAACAGGGTTAAGTGACTTGCCCAGGGTCACACCACTAGGAAGTATCTGAAGCCTGAATTGAACTATGGAAGATGAGCCTTTCTGACTCTAGGCCTGGCACTCTATCCACTGCGCCACCTAGCTGCCCAGTTTGACAGCTCCGGTGTGGTTTCTGCTATACCAGGCTGCCTCCTCAAATACTCCCCATTCTCCATACTGGTTACTTGTGCCAAATACCTTCATGATATTCCTTCTGGGCCAGCAGAGAATCCTGTCTATTGAACAGGGAGACAGAAATGACAAAAGCGAACCAGAGGAAAACTGTTTCTTCATCACCTTTGAGGAGACATCATGTCAGAGAAGCTGAGGGAATTGTGAGGGGAATGAGTATGAGGGCAGAAAAAAAGAACTTTTGACTGGGAAGGGGAACGGTGCCAACTTCCCATCTGCCAGTACTCCTTGGAAGCCCTCCCATTCACTCAGGCCCCTCATTGATTTGGAGCAGGGCTCTGGTGTGGACCTCCGCCAGCAAGAGCATAAATCGTGCCCCCCTTCCCCCAATTGGACCTTCTTGATCTATGACAAGGATTAGACAGAGATGGCCTCAGGTCCATGTCAGGGCATCAGGGGGAGAGACAGATTTCCCTTCTTAATAAGAGGTGGCTGGTTTAGTAATGAGCCCTTCCTGCTAATTGGAAGGGATGATTTAACACTGGGAGGGGTCCAGGGAATCTTCATCTGAGAATCAAGCAGCTCCAGACAGAAGAACAGTGCAAATGGAAAATAATAGCTCACATTTACATAGCACTTTAAGGTCTATAAGGTACTTTGTCTGTGTTATGTCATTTGGCCCTTTAAACTACCCCCTGAGGTTTGTTTTACAGATAAGGAAACTGAGGCTGAGAGCAGTTAATCAACTTGCTCACAGTCACAAAGAAAATAAGTGCCTGGGGGCAGGATTTCAGCTCAGAGCTTCCTGATTCCAAGTCCAAGACTGGGGCTCCAGTTCCAAGCATTGAGCATGTCATGCTGTTTGTCTTCAAGCGGGCCCATGTTGTGGCCATGCTACATGCAGTATCATTCAATTTGGAAAGAGTGGGCTGGGTTCAAATTCCAACCCTACCACTTACCAGCTATGTGACTTTGAGCAGATAATTTTATTGGTTTGAGCTTCAGTTGCCTCATCTGTAAAATGGGAATAATAAGACTTGCACTGCCTACCTCATGGGATCATTATGAGGATGCCTTAAAGTGCTATAGAAATGACCAACCACTTTTTTCTCAGGAGTGAAAGGTTTCACTGAGCAGGCACATAGAAACAGTCTTCAGACAAGTGACGGATTGTAATGTCTGTGAACTATAGGGATGGTATGTACAAAAGACATCAATGGCCAAGCTGAATTTTCATTTTTCATAGATCTTTATGTATCCATATACATAATGATGTCCCTTTTTAGAAGGTGGGCAAGGGCACCTCAAGACCTGTGATGCCAACGGATGGAGATCAATAGCAACTAGCCTGTAACTTTACATTGTAGAGAATTGACTGGGACACCACAAAGTTGTGACTTACCCAGGCTCACACTGTCAGCACGTGTCAGAGGCATGTCTTGAACCCAGGTCTTCCTGACTCTGAGGGTGCCTCTATGCCATGCTCCCTCTTTTCTGCTTACTTCAGTGATGTCATGGCAACATGTTTGTTCATGCTCCTAAAGTGTTCTGAAGATACATAAACAAAGAGGACTGGTTTCAGTGTTGGAATAGAGCATTTTAAAATTCTGCCAACTAACCCTTTTCTTTGCACCAAGAACTCAGAGAGTAGGATTTCCCTTCCTCATTTATGGGAAGGAAACAGCGGTGTTGGTATAACCAAGACAGAACTCATCACCTTTCTTCCCAGCCCCTTCCCTATTTTCCAAACTCCTGTTTCTGTCCAAAGTGCCACCATACTTCTAGTCAACCAGATTTGAACCTCAGAGTGATCACCTTCTCCATTGTCTCTCACCCTGTACCTCACATCCTGTCAGTTGCTAAGTCTTAAAGAGTTGCTTCTACCTTCAACCCATCTCTTACATCCATCCCCTTCTCTCTACTCACTCAGCCACCAGGCCAGTTCAGGACCTCATCACCTTTCACCTGGACTATTGCAATAATCTCCTAATTAATCTCCCTACCTCAAGTTTCTCAATCCATCAACTAACAAGATTCAATTAAATATAGGAAAGATTAAGGGCAAAAGGAGAAGGGGATGGCAGAGCATCAAATGAATAGGTAGTGTCATGGGAGCAGACATTGGGAGATAGTAGAGGGCCTGGCATGCTATGGTCCATGGGGTCACAAAGAGTTGGATGTGATTGAACCACTAATCAACAATAATAACAACAACAAATGTGCTAGGCATTGTGCTGGATGCTGGGGAATATGAAGATGACAAAGATATAGTCCCTGTACTCAAAGAGCTTACATTATATCAAAGAAGACAACAACATGAATACAAATAAATATGTATGAAATATATACAAAGTAATATGTAAAATAGTTTTAGGGGGAGGGGCAGGGCCTTGGGGGGGTAGGCTTTGGTAGCTGGAGGAGGGACTAGTTTTGAAGGCACTTTGAGTTTTGAAGGAAATAAGAGATTATATGGAATATGATATTCTGTAAGGCAAAGGAGCTTGGATTACAACCAAGGATCAACTACCCAGAGAAAATGAGCATGATGTTTCAGGGGAGGAGATGGATATTCAATGAAATAAGGGATTATAAGGGGTGGAAGTGAGGAGGGAGGGCATTCCAGGCATGGAGTACAGCCAGTGCAAAGGTAGAGAGATAGGAAATGGAGCATTATGTGTGTGGAACAGCAAGGAAGTCAGTTAGGGTAGAGCACAGAGTGTAGACAGGGGAGTAATTTATAATAGGGCTGGAAATGTAGGTTGGGGTCAAGTTGTGAAGGGAAACTACATCATCAGCATTGGTATTCACACCTCATCACTTCCCTCCACATTCCCACCCTTCCCTCTGAAGCTTCTTCTTGTGTGTTGTCTTCTCCCATTAGATTGTAAGTGCCTTGAGGGCAGGAACTGTCTTTCCTTCTTTCTTTTTCATTTGTATCTCCATTGCTTAGCACAACACTTGGCACATAATAACACTTAATAAATATCTATTGACAATTGACTTTCAAGGCCAGACAGAGGAGTATGTAGTTTATCCTAGAGGCAATAAGAAGCCACTGGAGTGTATTGAGTAGGGGAGTGACATAGTCAGACCTGTACTTAAGGCAGATGTGCAGAGAATGGACTGGAGTGGGAAGAGATGAGCCAGGAGAACTGATACATTGCCATTGCAGGAGTCCAGGCCAGAAGTGATGGGAACTTGCTTAGGGCAGTAGCTGTGGGAACAGAGAAAAAGGGGGAGATATGAGAGATATGAAGAAGTATGGCCAGAGGTTAATCAGGTTGGTGAGGGGCCCCACAACAATTTCATACTAAGATCCATGGAAAGAAATGGGCATTTTCAGCCTGGAGGAGAGAAGGCATAGGGTGCCCATGATAGCTATCAGTAAGTATTTGAAGGGTTATGAAGGGGAAAAAGGAATTAAGCTTATTTTGTTTGATCTAGAGGGCAGAACTAGTTCCAGTGAAAGGAATTTGCAGAAAAATAGATTTTGGCTCATTACATGGAAACAAGACTGGGGGTTTTGAAGTAGAGGCTATACAACTCTTAGTAGTGAATGTGAAGGGGAGTCCTGTTCCATTCTGGATGGCACTAGAGACCTTTGAGGCCCCTTTCAATTCTGAAATTTTATGAAAAATTGGAAGAATTTCCTAAACAGAGCTTGGATGGCTTTTTATCAAAGGATTACAGACTTAGAGGTTGAAGAGTCCTTAGAAGCCATTAAGTCTACCTCTCCTCATTTTAAAGATAAGGAATTATTTGTCCAGGATCACACAGCTAGTCTGTGTGATTTGAATCCTGGTCTTCCTGGCTTTAAATTTTGTGCTCTATCCCACCACACCACATTGCCTTTCCAAAAGTACTGTATGAGGTGTTGCTGTTAACAGCTGGACCAGTTTTTCTCTGAAGTCTTTTCCAGCTCTGAGACACTTTAATTAAATGATTTTGTCCATTGGAGGGCTCAAACCACTCTGCAGACCCAAATGCTATTTCGAGGCACAGACATTTGGGACAAAAAGTATCCACTCCCCTTTTAAAGTCAAGAAAATGAAATCACAGGAATGGAAAATGATTTGTCCAAGTAGTGACAGAAAGGGGAAAGGGAGCCTGGCTGCCTGCTTCAGTGATCTCTCATTAACCAATCCATGTTGTACAGCTACATCCTGGGTCCAGCCATGTACTTTTCTCTGTGCTATTGTCTCCTTGCAGGTTGTGACGTTACACCTGGAGGGGTCCCGCTTCCTGATCTGGGGAGGTTTTTATACTTTATTTCAAAAAATTCCAGTGACTGTAACTGCCACCAAAGGCCCCCGGGAGCCTTTGGCAATATGATTCCATCTGAAAGAACAAAGAGACAAATTTGCAGGACATCAAATGCAAAGGTATAGGGAGAGACAGGGAGGGCTGGGACTTAGAGAATGGAAACGTGAAAGTTTTCAGGCCCACTCTGTGTGTTTTGTTGAGATCCGAGTGCTATGAATAATAGAGGATCTACACATAAGCCAAATGTAGTGCTGCATATCCATTCCAGGGAGACAGAGCCTAGGGACCTCTGGGAAGCAACGGGAATGAAATGTGCACCATAAACTCTTGTTAGACACAAGCTGATCTTGCAGAACCACAGAATGTCAGAACTGGAAGGGACCTTAGAACACAAGATGTCAGAATTAGAAAGGACCCTAGAATACAGAATATAGAATATCAAAACCAGGAGGGACCTTAGAACATAGAATGTTAGATCTGGAAGGGGCCATAGCCCATCAGAGCTAGGAGGGAACTTAACCACAGGACATAAGATGTTAGAGCTGGAAGGGACCTTAGAACATAGGAGGTCAGGCTTGAAAGGACCTTAGAACACAGAATGTCAAGAGTTGGAAAGGACCTTAGGATACAGATCATAAAATTGCCTTAAGAGAAACTTTTTCTTCTTTTTTTCTTCACCCCCCACCATGCTTTCAAGTTCATTGGGTTTTCATGTACAATTAAAAGAAGACCTTTCAGAACTGGACAGCTCATCCATGAAGTCTGGGCAAAGGACTTCTATTTAGCCCATCAGAGCTAGAAGAGAACTTAACCACAGACCATAGAATGTCAGGGCTGGAAGGGATCTTTGAACATAGGATGGCAGAGTTTTAAAGGACCTTAAAATAGAGAACATAGAAAGTCAGAACTAGAAGAGACCTCAAAACATAGAATGTTAGTATTGGAAGAGACCTTAACCCATCAGAGCCAGTATAGAACATATGAAAGTTGGAAGCAACTTTAGACCATAAAACATAGGATGTCAGAGCTGGAAGTGACCTTAGGACATGAAGTTGAACACAATATTAGAGCTGAAGGGGGCATTAGACCATAGAATATCATACCAAGATGGGGAATCTTAGAACACAGAGAACAGAATGTCAGAGCTAGAAGGGAATGAGACTAGAGATCATCTAGTCCAGCCCCCTTAATCCAGCCCCCTCAATTTAGAGCTGTGGTGCATCAGGCTCCCAGAAGGGCAGTTGCTGATTCAAGATCAAGTGTTAGCAAGTATCTGAGCTGGTGTAATGGAAAGAATAACAAATTTATAGTCTGGAGCTCTGGGTTCAAATATTATCTCTCTTACTACCTGTGGGACCCTGGGTAAAGTCATTTACTTCACTGACTCTCCATTTTCCCCTCAGTGGAATGAGAAAGTGTACTAAATACTCTCTAAGTTTCCTTCCTACTTTAAACTCTGTGATCTATGTATGACCAATGAGGGGGTTTGAATTTCAGCCTTCTGATAACAGGCCTACTGCTCTTTCCACTAGAATCCTGGTTAATATAAAGGCTGGATGCACCTGGACTGAATGTAAACAGTAATTTATTCCAGATCAGCCCAACCTACCACAGCAGGCCATAAAGAGAAAGAGAGGTTGGGAATTAAGGGGTATGTTAAAACAGAGGGGCTAAGCCTAGGAGATTTTCTGTTTGTGATGATACAAAAAAACAGGACAGAAATTATCCATGAAGTGGCACGCAGATTCATATCTAATTTACAAGTCAACAACACAGGTACCTTAAAGCCTTAGCATGCCACCACAGGGTAGCGGAGAGTATTAGGAAAGGATAGGTAGAGAGAGTAGGAGCTAGTGTATTTATTTTTGTATAGGCCTATACAAGAATGTATTTTGAGGAGCAGCTAGGTGGCACAGTTGATAGAGTGCTGGACTTGGAGTCAGGAGACCAGAGCCTCATAAACTTCATAGCTGTATGCCTTGGGCAAGTTACTTAACTTCAATTTGCCACTAGAGAAGAAAATGGCAAACCACTCCAGTCTCTTTGCCAAGAAAACCCCATGGACAGAGGTCCCCAAGGTGATGGAGAATTGAACATGACTGAAATGACTAAACAGCATACAATAATGGCCTACAGCTATGGCCTAAAATTCCAAGCAAGTCAGCCTACAAGGACTGAAAGATTCAAGAATGAAATCCTGAAAACACAAAAAGAAACAGTCCTAATAAGGAGGAGAAAAAAGGGGTTGTCTATCTACCATCCTGGATTTTTAAAAGACACGTACAAAAGATAGGAGCAAGAACTGGTGACACGATTCATTCAAAAACATGACACATTTTCTCAAGAAAAGTGTCAGGTTAGGCTAAGGACAACAAAATGGTTTTTCTTCCTGAGTTAGGGAAACGAAGAGGATGAAATAAGGGATAGAACCTCCTGCTTGAGAGAGGAAGGAGAATTTAAAAAATGATCATTGATGGTGGAGAGAAGGTAGAACTACTCAAATCTTTTGCTTCTGTTTTCTTTTCTGAGGAGAATACCTTTGGATTAGAAAGGACAGAACAAAAAGGTAAGCTGTCAGAAGATAGTAAGAACACCCAGCTACTTTTGGTGAGTTCAAGGCACTTGGGCCAGATGACCTATATCACAGGGCACTGAAAGAACTGACAGTTGTGATCTCTGAGCCACTGTTAGTGATGTTAGGTGATGGAGAACAGAAGAGGTACCATAGAATTGGAGAAGGGCAAAGGTTGTTCTGATTTCTGAAAAAAGGGAATTGAGTGGAATCTGCAGTCTGTACACTAATGAACTTGACTTCAATTCCTGAAAAAATTCTGAAATATAAGCAGTAGTAAGACTGCCAGATTTGGAGGTAGAGGCCCTGGGTTTGACTCTTATTTCTACCACTTGTACTTGTGTGACCTTGAGAAAGTAACTTTATCTTTATGTAGCTCAGCTTTCTCAACTGTAAAATGAGGAGGTTAGACTTAATGACCTCTTGGACCATAATGATCTCCTTCTAAATCTTTGATCCTATGATTCTGTTATGATGCTAATAATAATAGTTAGCACTTACATAGTGCTTTAAGGTTTGCAATGCGTTCTACACATATATCTAATTTAATCTTCACAACAATCCCGTGTGATAGGTTCTATTATTATCCCCATTTTACAGATGAGGAAACGTCTGTAAACATTTGGAGCAGAAAGAGGTTAAGAGATTTGCCTAGGTTTTTCACACAGCTAGTAAGTGCCTGAGGCAGGATTTGAACTCACGGTTTCTTGACCCCAAGTCCAACTCTCTATCCACTATGCAATCTAGCTGGAATCTTATAGTCTGTGAACATATGAAAAAGGAAGTGGTAATTACCAAGAGCCATTATGACTTTATCATTATGGCAGACTAGCCTAAATTCCTCCTTTGACAGGATTGTTTACTTTGGGGTTGTTTTTTTCTTTTTACAGCATGACAGGATTGGTACATTAATAACCCATAATTCAAGTCTTCATCATTTTTTTCCTTGAATGAATGTAATAGTCTTGTAATCGGTGCCCCGCCTTCCAGGCTCTCACCTCTCTAGCTCTATTCCTACACCAGTGGTGTCAAACTCAAATAGAAATGGGTTCCTGTGGGCCACATGTTGACTCAGAAAACCACAAATTCACATTATCTATGTGGTATTGTAATTTTATTTATTTTGTTAAACATTTCCCAATTATATTTTAATCTAGTTCAGGCTGTACTCAAGAGTACTGCTTTTGGCCAATGGGTCTGACATTTCCATTCTACACAAGTTTCAAAATGGTCTTCCTAAAGCACAATTCTGACCACATTACTCCCCTGATCAAAAGCCTTCAGTGGCTCCCTGTTGCTTATAGTATAAAATATAAGCTTCTTAGTTCGGTATCGAAGACTTCCACAAAACTGGCTTGTGCCTGCTTTTCCAATCTAATTTCATGCTGCTTGCCTTCATGCTTGCTAAGTCCCAACCAAGCTGATCTACTCTCTGTTTTCTGAACTCAGCACTCCATCTTCTGCCCCGGTGCATTTGTACAAACTCCTTCCCATGCCTGCAGCACACTCCCACCTTATCTCCAACTCTCAAAATCCCTGTCTTCCTTCATGGTTCAGTACAGAAGCCATCTCTCCCATGAAGCTTTCCCTCATCAGAGAAAGGATTAGATTTGTTCAGTTTGGTCCCAGAGGGCAGAATCAGGAACAACAGGTAGAAGCTGTAAAGAGGCAACTTCAGGTTTGATGTCAGAAAGAACTTCCTAACAATTACTGTATAGGCGTCCAAAGGTAAAATGGGCTGCCTCCCTGGAGGTCTTCAAGCAGTACCGGACAACCCCTTATTGTTTATGTTATGGTGGGAATCCTTTCTTACGTGGGTTGGACAACATGACCACTGAGTTCCTCCCAACTCTCAACTTGTGTTGTTCTCTTGACTGACAGGGCTCTCTCCTACCATAATATTCCTTGTATTATATCTATTTGTGTATAGGCTTAATGACCTCAGTAGAATGTAAGCTCCCTGTGGGCAATGCCCTCTTGCCTGCATTATTACATATCTAATGCCTAGCATATATTAGGTACTTGGTAAATGTTTGTTGGATACAATCAAATTAGGAAACTGCCATAGATAGAATTAACTTAGCTTTTAGTAGAGCATTTAACAAAGTCACGTAACCTTCATGGGTAAGATGGGGCATTTGGGACTAGATGATAATATGAGGAAGTGGATTTGGAATTGTTTGACTGGCTGGACCCAAAGAGGAGTGATTAATGGTACTATATCAGCTTAGGTGGAGATCCTTTGAGAAAAAGCCCAAGGGTCTTGGTACTGAACTTCTTCATATTTTGACCAATGACTTGGATAAGAGTGTAGATGACATATTTATTGAATTTTAAGGTGACACCAAGCTATGAGGGATAACCAACACATTTGAGAATAAAGTTCAGATTGAAAATTGTCTTGATTGCTAGAAGCTGGGCTGAATCTATTACGATGAAATTGAATAGGAATAAACAAAATGTCTCAATTTGGGTTCAAGAAATCAACTTCATGAGAAAAATATGGGGAAGACATGGCTAGACAGCAGTTCCTCTATAAAAAATCTTGTAGTTCCAGTGGACTCAAGCTTAAGGAGAGCCAACTGTATGATACGGCAGCCAAAGATGCTAATGTAAAATTAGTCTGCATTGAGATTCACAGTGTTCAGGACTACAGAGGTGGTAGCCCTGCTGTACTATATATTGTTCAGACTACATCTTGAGTATTGTGTTCAGTTCTGGGCACTGTATCTTAGGAAGTACATTGATAGTATACAGAGCATCCAGAGAAGGGAAACAATGACAGTGAAAGGCCTTCAAGATCATGCCAGATGAGAACCGGCTAAAGGAACAAGCAATGTTTGAGAAGACTTAGGAGAACATAGTAGCTGTCTGCAAGTATCTGAAGGATTGTCATGTGGAAGAGAGGTAGAACTAGGAGTGATGCGCAGAAGTTTCAGAAAGGGAAATTTAGGTTTGATGAAAGCTTTCTAACAATTAGAGCTGTCCATGAGTTGTGCCAGAAGGTACTTGGTGCTCACTCACTGACCAATCTTTCAGCAGAGGTTGGATGACAGCTTTGGAAAGATACTGAGGAGAATATTCTTGGTCAGGTACAGATTAGACTTGATGACCTCTGAGGTACCTCCAGTTCTATGATCTGTGAATACCCAGGACTGGAAGGGACCATAGAGACATGTAGTCCAACCACATAATCCTGGATAGGAGATTTAGAGATGAAAGGGAGCTTAAAGCCATCCAGTCTAACTCTTTCATTTCACATACAAGGAAATAGAAGCCAAAAGGTAGGTGGCTTGCTCAAGGTCACAACTTTTAAGAGCCTGATGCAGAATTTAGATTCAGTTATTTTTTTCTTTTTTTTTTCTTTTTAGGCAATTGGGGTTAAGTGACTTGCCCAGGGTCACACAGCTAGTAAGTGTCAAGTGTTTGGTCTGAGGCTGGATTTGAACTCAAGTGTTCCTGACTTAAGGGCTGGCTCTATTTACTGTGCCACTTAGCTGCCCCAATTCAGTTATTTTTTACTCAAAGTCCAATACCTCATTTTACAGATTGGGAAACTGAGGTCCATAGAAGGAAGTGACTTACACAATGTTACAAAGTAAGTGTCATTGCTAGGACTTGAACCCAGATCTCCTAACCCCAAAGCCATCATTCTTTCTATTCTATGAGAGCTGTCTCTCACTCTTACTTACTTTGACATACAATGTCCAGGACTAATGAGATGGTGGTCCTCTTATCATCTTCCCTTGTCAGCCCATCTCTGAAATCTTGTATTCAGTTCTGGCACCATATTTTAGGAAGAATATTGACAAGATGGAGCCCATCCAAAAAAGTGTGACAAGGACAGTGAAGGGACTCAAAATTATGCCATATAAGAGTCTGGTTAGCAATAACTGGGGATGTTTATCTTGGAGAAAACTTAGGTGGGGGTTGAATGGAGTGGTATGTGATCACAATCTTTAGGTATTTAAAAGAATGGCAAGGAGGAATTCCTCCTTGGCCCCATGAGAAAAGAACCAGGGTCCAGTGCATAGAAATCACAGAAAGCTCAGACAGGAGAACAAATTCCTTAACAATTAGAGCCATACAAAATGAGATGGGTTGTCTTGGAAAGGAGTGAGCGCCTCACCTCTGGAAGTCTTAAATAAGAATGGGAAGAGCACTAGACTCAGAGTCACAGGATTGTAGATTTGGACCCAGAAGGTATCTTAGGAATCTTCCAGTCCAGTGATATCAAACTTAAACAGAAACGATTCCCTACCATTAATTCATACATAAGGATCCCTGAGGGCCAAATATTGACTTAAGTTTATAATGTAGTATCATCTGTATTTTATTGTACTTTTATTTATTTTGTCAAATATTTCCCAGTTATGTTTTAATTTGGTTTAGGCTGTACTCAGGAGTGTTGTGGGCCACATGTGGCCAGCATATTTGACACCACTGCTCTGGCCCAACCCCATTATTTTACAGATGAGGAATTCAGACCAGAGACATTAAGTTACTTGGCCAAAGTTACATATGCAGATAAGAAACAGAGACACAGGTTTTTAACTTAGATCCTCTGACTCCGAATACAATATACTTTTCAAAGCACCATACTGCCTTCCCTACTCAGAAGATCTGGGTTCAAATTCAACTCAACCATTTACTAACCACATGACTTTGGGTAACTTACTTCCCTTTTCGATGCTTCAGATGACTTCTAAGGTTTCCTCCAGCTCTCACAGTCTTGGTAACTGTGATACTGCATAATTTATTTTAGATACTGCAGAGATGATCTGTTCTTTTTTTTTTTGGAAGGTTTTTTTATGCCTTTTGTTTTTACAATACGGTAATTTTCAAATATAGAGCAAGCCCTCCCTCAGTATTAAACCTCCTTTGTAACAAAGAAAAATAATTGACCAAGAACAACAGAAATAGTGACAGCCAGTGTATGTGACATTCTGCCACCATAGCACCCCACTCTCTCCCAAGAGAAGGAGGATCCTTTCTTAAGGTGGAGGCTGAGAAGATGCTGTTAAAGGTCCCTTCCAAGCCAGAAATTGCAGGATTCTGATTCTGAAGCATCACAATGAAAACCTTTTCTCTCCAATCAGAATTTGTAATTTGGGCTTCCTCCCCCCCCCCCCCCCCCCCCCCCCGGGGAAAGGCTTTAGCACAGAAATATGGAGAAGCTGGGGTGGGTGGGGGAGGAATGGAATCCCATTTTTGTCTCCAACTGCCTTTGTTCCAGAATAAACAAATTGCCGCCCGCCAGCCTCACCCTCCGCCTAAGAGCTGCTGCTGCAATAGCGCAAGAGCGGAATCGTACACAATCTGTGCTTTAGATGCACAAAAAAACTCTGAAATTGCTTGGAGACCAGAGACGAGTTTGCACTCTGAGAGGCAGAGCGGGGGAGAATTCAGGGCCTGTAATTGCAGGTAATCTATCTGCCTCTGTCAGCAGCGGCTGTTCAGAACCGATTTTTAAGAGAACTTGAAGGGTGAGCATAGGATTTAGAGTTGGAAGGCACCTTAGAGATCATCCACGTCAACCCACTCATTTTGCAGATGAAGAAACTGAGGCCCAGAGAGGGAAAGGGAATTGCCCAAGGTCACACAATCTGTTTATTGTTTTTTCAGCCTTATACAACTTCTTGAACAAATTTTCTTCCTCAATTTGCTCCCAAACATGATGAACATAACCTGAGGACATTCTGAGTGCACTGGATTGTGAGTGTGAAGGCACATTTCAGGACATTCTTAGCCTTCTTTGACAGACCATAGACTCATAGACTATCAGAGCTGGAGGGAACTTTAGGACACAGAACTAGGAAATAGAGAGAGACAGAGACATAAAGAGAGGCAGAGAGACAGAGACAAAGACAGAGATACAGAGACACACACACAGAGACATAGACACAGAGAGAGAACAGAAACAGCAGCTAACTTGCCCAGGGTCATGCTGGTAACACATAGCAGAGTCTGGGTTAAAATGTAGGTCTTCTGATTGCAAATTAATGTTCTTTCTACTCTTCTACATAAATGTTCACATACAGATGAGAACTCATTTATGGGAAGGAAATGATTTCCATGACTGGATCATGAATTAGAATTTAAATGGCTCTTAGACATCATTAAGTCCAGCCATCTCATTTTACAGATGGAGAAACTGAGGCCCAGAGAGGGGAAGAAAGATGTCATCTTTGGAGCAAAAATAAATAGAAGTCTGACTGGGGTGATACAACCATTTGAGTTACATAACATGATCGCAGCATGGTATAGTGGATGGAAAGGCGGCCTTGGAACCAGGAAGACAGGGCTCCCTGGTAATTCTGAACAGAATAGATTTAGGTCTACTTTGGTAGAAGGAGTTTCTTCATTGGGAGTTCCCAATGTCTACAGTCTGGACCAAAAAAAGCCCAATGATTATGACAACCCTCATTTACATTGTGTTTTAGGACTCATAAAACACCACATTTCTTCTTATTTGTTCTTCCTAACTGTCCTAGGCTGTCCGTAGTACAGGTATTATATAATTTCCATTTTATAGATGTAGAAACCGAGCCCACAAAGTCATAGCATCATAGGACATAGATTCAGAGATGGGAGGGACCTTGCAGGGGATCTGCTCCAACCACCTCATTTTACAGTTGAGAAAACTGAGAGGTTAAGTCACTTTCCCAAGGCCAAACAGGTAGCAAATGACAGCATCAGACTCGTTCCCAAGCTCTTTGACTCTAAATCCAGCAAACTTTCCACCTTACTGAGCTGTAGCAGATCTAAGATTCGAATCCAGCACTCTTGCCTCTCTACTTAGGACTCCTTCAGCTGCAGTTCAGATGTTATTAGCTAGTTTGTTTGGGGGATGAAAAGCCTTGGCTCTAACCAATTCCCCTCAGAGAAGACTCTTCTATGAGAGGTGCGGGAGAAACTGCAGAGTAGATTTTAGGTTCTCACAGATGCATAGCAGCATTTCCTCACCTCCCCTATCTCCCCACATTGCATTGTTCAGGGTCTACCACCAAGAGATCTCATGTACTAGGTTGCATCTTCAGTGAAGGGTTCCTCACACTCTATGTCCCTCTTTCTGACTTTGGGTAGGGGTCCACAGACATGGGGTGGGGAGAGAAATGGAGATCATGGAAAATAGTAAAGCATGAGTCTGTGACAGTGGGTTAATACAGTGCAGCTAATGAGACATTATGGGTAATCTGCCTTGCTCCCAGGGAGATAGGGAGCAGAGGAGCCAGGCAGCAACTGCAGCATCTCATATCCCCATCCCTGCAGAGACCTAACGAGCCAGGCAGCCAGAATAGGTGGCTAATTAAATCTGAGCTGGTGACTCCTCAGGCATAAGGAGTGGGCCACAGCTAATGGGACTGTAGATAATGGAGAGCCTGGCGGTAACACAGGTTAGGCTTTTGGGGGTCGATGGGGGCTGGGATGGTAGGGTTGGCTACTAAGTGACTGGCCGTGGTAAGTGGGAATAAGCTGGGTGCTCATCCTATTTCTGCATAGAATCATGGGCTGTCAGAGCGGGAGGGAAGCTAAGAACATGGAATGCTGGAACAAAAGATGTTGGGTGTCAGAACTAGAAGGGACTTTAGAACACTGACAATAAAATGTCAGAGCTAGACAGAACCTTAGAGATCATTTAGGCCAGACCTCATTTCATAGACAAGGAAACTGAGCACCAAAGAACTGAAAATAACTTGTTCAGAGTCGCACAGCTAATTAGTGACAGAGTTGAGTCTGTGAGCCAGGTCTCCTGACTCCTGGATCAGTGTTCATTCCTTCAAATTTCCTCCAGATAAATATGGATATGGGCAAGGAAAGTTAGGGGCTTACAAATATCTCCTCTGTAAGAGGATGGGGCAAGATAGAAGGCTCTATGCACATGATCCTTCTCTTCCCCTGTGCTAGTCCTAGGCTTCTTCCCTTCCTCCCTCACTTCCTTACTTCCCTCTCTCCCTTCCTCATTCCTTCCTTCCTTCTTTTTTCCTTTCCTCCTTCCTTCCTTCCTTCCCTCCCTCCCCTCCTTCCCTTCCTCCTTCCTTCCCTCTCTTCTTTCTTTCCTTCCTTTTTTTCCTTTTTTGCTTATTTGCTACCTTCCTTCCCACTCCTTAAGAAGGTGTCAGTCATTGAAAGCTAAGCTCTCTCTTTGCCTTCAGACCCTTGCTTCCGCTGGTTTGCAGTCCTAGGAGGAGCTTCTTCCCAGGCATGGTCTACGGCATCCTTGTGCATCTTTACAGACCCTCCAGCAGCCCTGGGGCTCCACCAAAGGCAAACGCAGGATGTTCTTTAGCTTGTCAATGTGTAAAAGCTCTGTGTGCCTGCGTGCTTTCTTTCCATCTATGTGGTGGGCTGGGCAAATGGGAATTGGTGTATAAACTATGTCCCCCTGGATGAGCTGGTGGGCACATATCTTGTTGAGGAGAATCAGGGCATATTGCAAAGAGCCCTGGATTTGGAGTCAGGAGACCTGGTTTGGATCATAGCTATATGACTTGGAATAAGTCACATCTTCTCTCTGGGACTCAATTTCCTCATTTGTAAAGTGAGAGAGTTGGACTAGATGACCTGTAGGTTGCATGAACTAATGGATAGGGCACTGGATTTGGAGTCAGGAAGACCCAGGTTCAAATCCTGCCACCCACACTTGTTAGCTATGTGACCCTGGGCAAATCTCTTAACCTCCCTGTGCCTCAGTTTCTCATCTGGAAAATGAGAGAAGGTGAACTCGATGGTCTCTAAGGTCATTTCCTATGCTCTCCAGGATCCTCCTAGATCTAAACCTCTGATTCTATTATTGACAATAATATCATTGTTATACAAGAAACAGCATGGCTATACTGTGCCGTGGAAAGAACATTGAATTGAGTCACAAGATCTAAGTTCAAATTTAGGCTCTACCACTTGGTGACCTTGGGCAAGTCATTTACTTTCTCTGACCTTTAGCTTCTTTGGAGTAGATGACCTTCAAGGTCCTCTCACATTTTAGATCTATGACCCTATGATAAGAATTGGCCTCAGCATCAGCAAACCCTGAGTTCAGATTCTCACTTCTAACATATACTGACTGTGTGGCTCTGAGCAAGTTACTTAACCTCTCTGAGTTAACTTTTCCTAAGGCTATACAGTGCAGAATCAATATTACCTGCACTGGTGTAAGGAGTTTCCTTGTTATGAAATCATGGGTCTGGTACCTATAGCTATATATCCATATCTAATCTATATCTAAATCTAATCTGTATCTACAGTCTATATCTATATCAAATCTATATCTATAGACATGCACATATATGTATATCTACACATGCAAGTAAAACACATACATGTATATACACGTGTGTATTTTATATCAGGCATGTAAGCATCTATACACATATATATGTATGAATGCATATACACGTCTGATACATATACACATATTGTGTGGTTATTCAGTTGTTCAGTTGTATCCTACTCTACCTAAGCCCGTGGACTTTGCCGATAAGATTTTATTGACAAAAATACTGAAGTGGTTTGCCATTTCCTTCCCCAGTGTGTCCCCATTTTACAGATAAGGAATCGAGGCAAATAGAGGTTAAATGACTTTTGGCCCAGTGACACACAGCTAGAAAATGTTTAAGGCCAGATTTGAACTCAGATCTTCCTGACTCCAGGCCTGGAGCTCTATCCACTGTACTACCTATCTGCCCCATATATACATATATACATGTGTATGCACATACATACAGGTCTGCTATATACATACATGTGTGTATGTATACAAGTATACACAAGGATATGTATATATAACCTAAGTCTGATGTATGCA